ATATATTCACCTCAAGCGCACATGTAACTTTCTCCAGATAGATCAGACAGTAGGCCACAAGGCAAGTCTAAAGAAGACTAAAATCATGTCAAGTACCTTTTCTGACCACAATGATATAAAAGTAGAAATCAATAACGGGGAATTTTGGAAAAAAAAATCACAAATACATGGAAATTAAACAATATGCTCCTGAACAACCAATAGATAACAAATAACAATAAACAATATAAAAATGAAGAAATTTTAAAATATCTTGAGACAAACAAAAGTGGAAGCACAATATACTAAAATATGTGGGATGCAACAAATGCGGTTCTAAGAGGAAAGTTTACACCAATAAATGCTTACACCAAAAAAGAAGATTCCAAATAAGCAATTGAAACTTATGCCTCGAGGGAACAGAAAAAAGAGCCAACCAAGCCAGTGGCAGCAGAAGGAAAGAAATAAAGATCAAAGCAGAAATAAGATAAATAGAGACTAGAAAAACAAAAGATCGACGAAGCTAAGGGTTTGTTTTTTGAGAAGATAAACAAAATACACAAATCTTTAGCTAGACTAAGAAAAAGTAAATAAGAGGAGATACTATAACTGATACCACAGAAATACAAAGGATCATATGAGACTATTATGAACAATTATATGCCAAAAAATTGAATAACCTAGAATAAACGAATAAATTTCTAGACATATACAACCTTCCAAGTCGGAATCACGGAGAAATGGAAAATGTTTTTTAATTGCCAACTTGGCTCCAGGCACACTGGCTTCTTCCAGGCCTCAGAATACACCACATCCAGCAGTCCTTGGAGCCAGGGGCCTGCTCCTGGGAGGCTCCTCCCACAGTTTTTCCTCTGGCTGCTCCTCTTGCCTCTCACCTTTTCATAGAGGCCTTTAGACTTTATAAGTTTAGAACACATGTGATAATTTTAAGGAAAACCACTATGAGAATAGAAATAAGATATTTAAGTCTTAAAATGGAAGGAACAAAATAAGTGATTTAAAAAAACTCAAAAAAGCAGTGGCTCATGCCTGCAATCCCAGTACTTTGGGAGGCTGAGGCAGGCAGATCACCTGAGGTCAGGAGTTTGAGACAGCCTGGCCAACATGGTGAAACTCCATCTCTACTGAAAATACAAAAATTTTGCTGGGCGTGGTGGTGCATGCCTGTAATCCCAGCTACCTGGGAGGCTGAGGCAGGAGAAAACTGCTTGAACACAGGAGGCAGAGGCTGCATTGAGCTGAGATCACACCACTCTACTCCAGCTGGGTGACAGAGTGAAATCCTGTCTCAAAAAAAAAAAATTAATTAAAAAAAGAAAAGAAAAGAAAACTTAGCCGATACCAAACTAGAAAGATGAGGAATAAGGAAAAATAGAAGAGCAGAAGAAATAATAGTACAAAATAAGAGATGGGGGAAGAATCCAAACATATTAATCACAATAAATGAAAACAGACTAAACTTGACAGTTAAAAAAGCAAATATATTGATTTCAGAATTTTAAGAAATATAGATACATGCTATTTAATAAGAAATACCTAAAATATCACAATAAAAGAGTTAAAAATTGGAAAAATATATACCTGAAAAATACTAATTAAAATAAAACTTATAATTCAATAGCAGATAAGATAGACCACAAAAAGGCATTCATAGGGATAAAAGGGCTATAGCTGACCAGGGAAGGGAATAGCTGACCAGGAAGATATGACAAATCTGTACTTCCAGATATGTATACCAGGGAAACTGTATATAATACAGAATTCATGATGTCAGCACTTGAGTGTTCACTCTGCTATGGTTTCCTGTAACTCATTTCACCGGGAATTTTGGGTGAATGCCAAAAAGAGACTCAGATATCGCTACGTCCCTGGCTAGAACAAGCTATGAGAACACCCCAGCTCTGGTCACGCTCAACCCCCAAAACACGCATTCTATGCACCCATCATATTCTTCATAGATGTCATCACTCTGGCAAGCCTCTCTGGCTTGGGATGACTTGTTATTATTTCTTCTTCTTATGAGACAGATTCTCGCTCTGTTGCCCAGGCTGGACGGTAGTGGTGCAATCTCAGCTCACCGCAACCTCCACCTCCTGGGTTCAAGCAATTCTCCTACCTCAGCCTACTGAGCAGCTGGGATCATAGGCACTCACTACCATGCCCGGCTAATTTTTGTATTTTTAGTAGAGATGCAGTTTCACCATGTTGGCCAGACTGATCTCAAACTCCTGACCTCAGGTGATCCACCCACCTTGGCCTCCCAAAATACTGGGATTACAGGAATGAGCCACTGTGCCCGGCCTTATTTCTTCATTTTTAGCACCTACCACCATGTCTGATAGAGAAAGGCATTCAACAAATGTTAGCTGAATGACACTGTAAGCATCTATTACAATTATAATTCTGAAGACTATGAAACCAATATGAAAAATGTCTATAATATGCATTTCTATTTTATTTTATTTTATTTTTTTATTTCTTTTTTGAGATGGAGTTTTCGCTCTTGTTACCCAGGCTGGAGTGCAATGGCGCAATCTCGGCTCACCGCAACCTCCGCCTCCTGGGTTCAGGCAATTCTCCTGCCTCAGCCTCCCGAGTAGCTGGGATTACAGGCATGCACCACCATGCCCAGCTAATTTTTTGTATTTTCAGTAGAGATGGGGTTTCACCATGTTGACCAGGATGGTCTTGATCTCTCGACCTCGTGATCCACCCGTCTCGGCCTCCCAAAGTGCTGGGATTACAGGCTTGAGCCACCGCACCCGGCCAGGCATTTCTATTTTAAAAAACACAATATAAAACTGTAATGCACTGTGATTACAAATATGCAAAGATTATATATGTATGTGAATACAAAAATGGAAGAGAATGTGGAACAATGGAAACAGTAAATTTGTTAGGTAAGGTGGATGGTGACTATCTGCTTTTAATTTTTATTATTGCTATTATTATTTGCATAATTTTGAAAATGAGATAAGAAGAAACGGCTGCATACATTTTAGCAATCCAAGAAAGTGATTCCTGAAAAATGTCACCATGTGTAGACTGAACAAAGGAGCTCGGAAATACTGACTCCTAAGGCCAAACTTTGCTTTCCCTCTTAAAGACACAGTATTATTAGTACATGGTGATTCTCTGGACATATAGGGAGCTGGCAAGGAAAGTGGGGTGCTGCAGGGAATGGATCCAGCTGCTGTAGCTTCATGCTGCATTTTCCATCCCCTTCTCTCATGCCTCTCCTTTCTAGGGAACTCCCCACAGCACCCATCAATTACCCAGAGTTTGACAGGACAATCTTTCCATTAGCTTCTACTCTATTTCCCCCGAGAAAGGTTCTCTGTCTTATCTGGACAGAAGACCAGGTAAAGAGAATATTCCTAACCCAGACTGAGGTCTACATATACCATTTTAAATGGAAAAGAACAGGGATCCTTGGAGAAATGGTTCATGCCAGGTCCCAGGCAAGGGACATACAAGATGAGCCTGAAACGTTTGTCATACCAGAAAGCAAAAAAGCTGTCAAAGACTATTGGGTCACATCAACAGGATGTCAGAACCGATGCGAAAATGCTCCCCACTGGCCAAGATGGAACAAACGAGTATAAATATCATAGCTGTCATGAATTGAGACATAAATATGCTTAAAGTCATGGATTCATAATAAGTATTAAGAAAAAATAATTAAGAAAACAAAACACTCATTGCTCACTTATGGAGGATGCTAGGGAACCAGTTCATTATTTTGGAAAGTAGGAAATGCAGGGAAAGAATCAAGGATGTCTTGCCCTTTTTTTTTTCTTTGAGACAGAGTCTCACTCTGTCGCCTAGGCTGGAGTGCAGTGGCACAATCTTACTGCAGCCTCCACTTCCCAGGTTCAAGCAATTCTCTGCCTCTGCCTCCCGAGCAGCTGGGATTACAGGCACCCACCACCTCACCAGACTAATTTTTGTATTTTTAGTAGAGACAGGGTTTCGCCATCTTGGCCAGGCTGGTCTTGAACTTCTGACCTTGTGATCCACCTGCCTCGGCCACCCAAAGTGCTGGGATTACAGGCATGAGCCACCACACCCGGTCACCTGTCCTGCCTTTCTTATACTAACTGTGTCTTGTTGCCGCATAGTTGGAGAGGGGAAGTCGTTATTATAGAAGTCCTTCAACTAATAAGAGAAGAAGAAATGAAAGACATAGAATATCATCATTTTATAATCTCTAGTGAATTAACGGATCTAGGTATGATCAACAATTCTTGATAAGATCATGAAAAGAGAGACAGTCAATATTTATTTGCCACCACCTATGAAGTATTTTAAACCCCCCCCCCAAAAAATGAACATGGGCCTGTACATCTATATCTAACCATCAATTTAGGGTTGGGAGTTAGGGGTGGGAGACAGGGAAACAGGTTAAATGTCACTGTGGGTTACAAGCAGTCAAATTCAGATTGTAAGAAAGCCCCCGTAACAAACAATCCAAATTACTTCTAAAATTAAGACATGGGGAGAGCACTAGAGTTCAAAAAAGAATCTGGATAAATCAATTGTAACTGCAGACTTCATTTGGATCCTAATTTAAGTACATTTAAATTATAAAATAAAACATGGGACAAGCAGTTAGATTTGAACCTTGACTGGATATTTATTAATATGATTGCTAACTCTGTTAGTTGTGAAAACTGTATTTTCACCTTGTTTCTAAAAAGAGTTCTTATCTTTTAGAGAGAGAGGGAAATATGGTGTCTGTTATTTGTTTCAGGAATATCTGGGTTTGAAGAAAATGAGCAGGAATACAAACGAAATGATCGGCCAAGATGTGACCCTTGTTGAAGCTGGGTAGTGGGTACATTCGTGGATTCACAGTATTATTCTCTTTACCTCTGTATGTGTTTTAAATTTTCAATAATAAAAAGTCTAAAACATTAATAAAAAATAAACAAAGCTGTTCCTTATTCTCACGGTTGACGTTTGGGGAAAAAATGTCAAGGAAACAACGAGGCTCTTACCTTTTCATTAACTGGATAAAAATTCTTCTTGGTAACTGGTATACAAAGGTGTCGAGGACAATCTTTAGATAATTAAAAGACACATAGCCTCCTTTACAGGGGTCCCCTGCACTGAGGGCCTTTTCAATCTTTTCATAGGACTTCGAAAGCTGCAATAAATTAAAATTAGAGTGTGGCATTCATAAAAATCAACTTCATGGAGCTATTCAACCATTTTATTTTTACCAAAAATCTCTTCACATTTTTCTCTCCAAAAGCTGATCAAAAAGGTTACTATGGCACATACTGAACTTTAAATGTTTAATTGATGAGCTCACTACAAAACAGTATTCACAGTCACAGCTACTCAAGTGACAAGGCAGACAAATTTCCCAGGGAAAAACAGCACATAGAGTAGCTCCACCTCACATTTCAGAGCTAAAAATACTTGGTGGATCTGCCAGTTTGATACATCTTCCTTAATATACTTTCAAGCCTTTCCCTACTGTGAGCCCACGTTACGCTTCTCCTGATTAAGACAGGCCAATCAAACAAAAAAGCTGGTAATATTTTATTAAAAATAGGAGTAGCTTTTTATAGTAAGGAAAATTATTAACGTAAGGACTGCATAAACAGAATATACATTGGACATTCCTTTCATCATTCTTTTCTTTTTTTAATGAGGAATTACAAAGAAGCTGGGTAAATGAGCTTTGCTTATGGGACTCCTAAAATGCAGTAATGTAGGTTAACCACTGATTTTTATACGACTCGTAAAAACACTGTGAAGATGGGTTTTATTTCCAAAGGTTTTCCTACTGTTTATTATTGAGTAATAACAATATTCTCCAATATTTTCAATTATCCCACTTTGTCTGAGTTTAATTTTTTCCTGCTAACTGGGATAAGAAGATAAACAAAATTACCACCGACTTGGTGTAAAACGTCACTTTCTAAAAAATCTGCCGGAACATGGAAATATGTACAAGAACTGTGATCCACTAAAGGAATAAGAAGCAGAATCACTAAATTTCCCTTTGTTTTCATTGTTACTGTTTATATATAAAGTAGAAGCCTTTTTTTTAATGTAAGCAATTGAGCAAAGTATAAAAAAGGAAATAAAAACACGTGGTAGTCTCCCCTTCACATACCATCATACTCTTGATGGAAAAGCCAAAGGTACATCCATTTTCCACCTTCATATGTTTAGTTTTTATAAATGTTTCCTTGATCTTAAATCTAAATGAGATCCCTGTTGTTCCTCTCTCTCATAACAACCTGGTCTTTCTCATCATACCACTAAAAAAACTGTCTTCATGACTTTTTACTTGTTTAAGAACACTCTCCCTGATATAAGGTAATGTGATCTCTATACAAGCAGAGATTGTATTTGTTTTCTTCACAAATAATTACCTAGGATGAAGCACAATGTTGGCATGTGGTAGGCACTCAATAAATATTTATTAAAAATGGATATATTTTTATTTAAAATGTTCTAAACAAAAGTCATAAAATACAAGGCCGGGAGCAGTGGCTCAATCCCAGCACTTTCAAAGGCCAAGGAGGGTGGATCACGAGGTCAAGAGATCGAGACCATCCTGGTCAACATGGTGAAACCCCGTCTCTACTAAACACACAAAAAAATTCGCTGGACACGGTGGCGCGTGCGTGTAATACCAGCTACTCAGCCTCAATTGCCTGAACCCATGAGGCGGAGGTTGCGCTGAGCCAAGATCGCACCATTGTACTCCAGCCCGGGTAACAAGAGTGAAACTCCATCTCAAAAAAAAAAAAAAAAGTTATAAAATACAAAAAGCTGTTCAACATATTAGTAACAAATGAAATAAACAAAAGTTATAGCTGAGATACCATTTCATCTGCATCAAACTGGCAGAAATTTAAAAGCTTAGCAGTATCAAAGTGCCGGGGGGCACGTGGAATGGCAGGAGTGCCCACGTGCTTCTGGTGGGAGTGTAAATCAATATGGTGGTAAGCAATAGGGTACCACCCATTGAGCCTTAAGGGCATGCTCTACAACCCAGCTCACAACTCCACTCCTAGGTGTAATTCCCAGAGAAGCCTTGGCACCTGTGGACCAGAAGCTAAGTTTACAACCACTTATGGTGGCACCGTTTGGATTGACATAAAACAGGAAGCAATCCAAATGTACATCCATAGGAGAATGTATAACTTGTGAAATATTTAGATAATTGAAACTGTACAGCAGTGAAAATGATAATACAACAGTACTCATAAGATGAGTGAAGCTCATCCTGAGCACAAACAGGATGAAAATAAATGGTTTTGCAACCATGCAAACATTATGATGGGGAAAAAGAGAAAGAAGGATCAGGCAAAGACAAAGAACTCAGCAAAGAGGAAGACAGAATATAAAAAAGTATGGACACATCCTTTGAAAAAATTTCATGCACAAAAAGGAACAAAATTAAAACACTGATTACAAGAAAATCTTGAAAATCATTAGAAATTTTCATTGAGAAGGAATATTTCAAAGCTAAGAAAATAGAAAACAAAAGTAGCATAATTACAGGAAAGAATAAATTAGAAACAGCAAGAATAAGAGGCAAGGATGAAGAGACATAAATTAGTATTAAAGGAGTGGTGTGGAAGAATCTCAGTGAAGGAAGAAGAAAGGGACAAAAGAATTAAATCAACTTGAGAGAAGATGACAGCTCTCAAGGAGCGGCAAAGATGATCTAATATATGGAGAACAGGGACTACTGTAGAAGGAAGGAAGGGAGAGAGAGGAGATGATTTTAGTACTGTGACACAGGACATTTTCCTGAAATAAAGGAAGAACTGAATCTGTACATCACACTGTGTTTCAGGAAAGTTTGTCAAAATGCTCCATGCTGAGATATAGCTTGGTTTTGCTTTGTTAATTTCAAGGATAAAAAAAAAAAATTCAGGAATCCAGGTGAAAAAAGAAATCACCGACAAGGGGTAAAGAAATCCAGTTGACCCCAGGTTATTTTCACAGCAACATCCAATGCTGGAAGACAATGGAAAATGTTTACATTACAAGGAAAAGAAAGCATGATGGAAGGATTATACCAGCCAAGTTGCTGCTCAAATATAAAAGCAAAAGGCACATAGTTTCAAATATGAAAAAAACAAAGGGAATAAAGCACCCATGAGCCTTTCTTAAGGAAATTACTTGACAATGAAATCCAGCCAACCAAAAAATAAATCAAAATAAAGAACTCTGAGAGGGATAAACTGTGATCAGCGCTGCACTATCGTGATGCACATTAAATTCATGCAAATATAAAACAAAGTCAAAACAACAGGGGGAATTATGGCAACTGAACAGAATATAAATAAATATTATAAACTCAGCTAAGGACAAACTATAAACAGCAAAAATGGTGAGGTGGGAGGGAGGCGTAGGAAGAAACAAGTACCCATCACTTGGAGTCTCATAGCAGAAAGCCAGCCCAAACTGTCTGAAATGGAAACATCCTTCAAAAACGTAGTTTCTCTAGCTCTCAATAGCTTTTTAAATCTCTTTTCTTGTCTTAAAGTCCTTTTGGGGACGTAACATATCTTGCGGGAAAGAAATGTTCATCCAGGGTTCAGAAGAGTCTCCCATCTCCCTCGAGGACAGTGTTGCAGGGTTAAGGGCAGGAACTGTGTATGCCTGCACTGCATGGGCTGTTTACACTCAGCCCCAGGTCTTAGCTGGACTCACTTAACCTATTCATGCCTCAGTGTCCTCAGCTGGGATGATCACAGTGCCCGCTCATGGGGTTGCTGTGAAGACTGAACAGACCAGCAGGAAAGCACTGCCTGGCACAGGGAACACCTCATAAAAGGGTTAGTTATGATGGTGACAGTGACATTTCCTTTGCTTCTGGTAAATCCAAGGAAATTGAAATGAAATATGTTTTATTTTTAAAAAGGAGTATGATCCTTTTCTTATAAAATTATTTCTATCTATGTCTCCACCTACCCACTGATACAGCCATCCTTTCATACACGAATAAAGAGAGGCCTCGAATTATGTTCACCAAATGTTGCCTTTGATTCTTTCTGGGCAGTGGATTGTGAAGAGTTTATTACTTTCTTCTCTGTACTTTTTAGAATTGCTTAAATTTTTGGTAATGGTCATGTTTTTATGAGACCAAGTCATTAGCAACAACTATAGAAAACAAATTTAACCAAATTACCCACAAATATGACAGTGCTCACTCCTCTAACACCCTCACCGACACTGGCTTTGTTAGTTTTTCCTACACCCTCCTATTGAACATTTTGTATTAATAATATGTAAAAGTTTGATGAATGTTAGGAAATATTCATCTTTCATTTATGTTGCACATATTTTGCCAAGTTTATCATATGTTTATACAAAGTTTTGCTGTATAAAGGATTTTTCATTTTTCTGAAGTTAAATTTTATCAGTGTTTTTATTTAAGGTTTTTGGGCTTTACTTAATGCTTACAAGAGATTCTAAATTTCAAGATTAGCAAGTGTTTACCCACATAGCTTAAATTTAAATCGTTGATGCAGACAGAATTTATTTTTGGTGAAGAGCGGAAGGTTATAAGCTTCATTCCCCAAAATGGCTGGATAGCAAATTACCTCAGTAATAATTACCAAATAAGCCTCTCTCACTATGCTTTGTTGAAATGCTTCATATCACAGGCTAAGTTCACCTATAAAGGATAGTTGGTTCATTAGCCAACTATCCTTTTCAATCAATTTGAATGTCCACTGCCACATCGATGCCATATTGTGTTAATTATTATGCCTTTATAAAATATTTTGTATGTGTAGAATAATTCATCTATTATAATTTTTCAAAAGAAAAAATATATATGCTGATATAGGGAGAACAGGTATTAAGACCAAATCTTCCAACCCAAGAATCAGAAAGGACTCTTTACTTATTCATGTTTTCCTTTATGTCACTCCATAAAGTTGCATTATTTCTTTATGTGTCTTATTAGGGCTAGCATGTGAGTAGCTCAAAAGAAGTACTTAAAAATTAATTTCGCATCACTATCACTATTACCAATGATCATGTACTGCTGCTATTAGGAGGTGGAGGGGGTCTCAGCATTGGAGGAGACACAGGAAGAATCCAAACAAATTTTAGAAGTAATGCTGAAACCTAACGCTTTTCCATAGTTGTCTGTTGCTGTGCTTAGCCTGTAGATAACTGAGGCTTAGGAGAAGCATCTTACTTCTAGACAAAAGTTCCTCTCAATTTCGTCCAAGGAGTGGTTTCTCCAGACACCTTCAGATGATGCAGAACTGAGCAAACGCTCCTTTTTGGACTTTTTGGCTTGTTGATTCGCCACTGAGACCTCTATTAAAACAAAATAGCTTCAGCTTATCAACATTGTCAATGGTTAAACATTTAAATATTGCTCCCTTTTAATCATCACCTGTTTGGTAAAAAATTAACCAAGAAAATGATGAACCATCTGATTTACAGTATTGAAATAACCGACTAAACGTTTTGGGAAAAAATAAAAGTAATCAGCTACTTACTCTCTTACTCCGGGATAAACACTAGAGAGAGTGAAATGTATACTAAATAGAATAATAAAATCACAAAATAGAAGAAAATCAAGATGACTATTACATACTACATAATATTTATGTGAGAAAGCCTTGCCAAGGAAAACACTAAAGCCAGAATTTATTTAAATAAAGGATAAGTCTGACAACATAAATACTTGATTTCTGTTTGGTTAAAAAAAAAAGCCACAAGTAACAGTGAAAAAATAATGAGTGGAGAAGAATTATTGTTAATATACATGATAAATACAGGTTAATTTTAATAATATATGAGTGGCTCTTATGAATCAACAAAATAAATATAAACATCCAATAGAACAGTAGACTAAGGTTATAGACAGGTAATTCACCTAAAAAGAATTATAAAACATACAATAAATGAATGTACTACTCAGGCTCATTGATACTTTTTAAAGTCTAATTAAAACAAGTTAACATTTTTTTTTCTACTTGTCAAATAGGCAAGGAGTAAAGAGAATAATAAGAACCAGTTCTGGCTTATGTATAAAAAATAGTACTTGAATATGCTTAAATCCCTTTCTAGAGCTTTGTACTCATGGAATAATAGGGCCACTCATTAAATTCACATGGATAAGGATATTTTCTGCACTTTTCTTTATAAGAGAAAAAAAGCTGAAACACTGTAAATGCCCATTCATAGAAGATGAATTTTGTAAATAAATGATTCATCAAGCCTATAAAATACTACAAAGGCTTTCAAAACAAAGATACACGCCTAAACTAACGGATGTGGAAAATGTTCCTTGCTGTATATTGTTTCATTATTTTAAAGGGATAATTAGCATAATTTCATTTTAACACCTATTTTGTATATCTTTCCATCCATCCATCCATCCATCCATCCATCCATCCACATAAGCAGCAGAAACAAAATCCGAGAGGATACTGCATGAAAAAGAACAGTGGTAGGATTCAGGTCATAGAATTATATGGAATCGTTATTTAGTGTTTTTGTGTTTTCTGGCTTTTTTGGAACAAGCAGGTATTATTTTTATAATAAAAGAGAATGCAATAAATCTAAAATATAGCCATTTTCTTTCTCAAAGTCGACTGCAAAGAATCACAAATGGTTTCCCAGATTTATTTCCTAAAATGTCTGCAAATATGCTTCAGCCAAATTAAGCACACTTAATTCAGCTGCAGTTAACAAACTGCCAGTCATCTGGAATTCCATTTCCTAGCTCCAAAAAAAAGAAAGGAGGGGGGAAAAAAGATACCTCTGGGCTATACAATAAAAGACAAAACTGGTCTTTAGAACTTGGTCATGGCTGGGCACAGTGGCTCATGCTTATAATCCCAGCACTTTGGGAGGCCAAGACAGGTAGATCACATGAGGTCAGGAGTTTGAGACCAACTTGGCCAACATGGTGAAACTCTGTCTGTACTGAAAATACAAAAATTAGCTGGGCATGGTGGCCCGTGCCTATAGTCCCAGCTACTCGGGAGGCTACGTCAGGAGGACTACTTGAACCTGATAGAGGTTGCAGCGAGCTGAAATCGTGCCACTGCACTCCAGCCTGGTGACAGAGAGAGGCTCCATCTCAAAAAAAAAAAAAAAAAAAAATGGCCTTGGCTTGGAATTCTGTAGCCACAGTGGGCTGAGCATTTGAAATCTGGGATCTCAGGACATTTGAGCTGTGAGAGCCCTCGCTGAAAGATGAGGAAGCTGTGTCACAGAAGTGGAACCTGAAGTGGTCCAGCACACAGAGGCCTCCATCCCTCTTGGATGCATCATCCTGTTCTCACTCTACCTTTGACACTGGTGCTCTGAGGGCACATCTCAGAAAGCCCTGTTTAACCAACATGCCTGGCTCAGAAGGGTGGAGAAGGGGTTAAGGCGTGAGGCCTGCTCTGGGGAGCCCATGGCCCACAGGTCTGGGCATGTGTCCTGTGGCTGCCCTCACAAGCCAGCTGACACCATGCGGTATGGTGTATTCAGTGACTCCTCTCTCACCAGAATTCAACCAGATTTCATTCTCCAGGGCAGCTTGATCATGTCTGCCACCTTCTGATTTTCTCAAAATTTCCTCTGAAGGATGCTCCCTGATGTGAAATTGGGTAGAGAAGCAATCCAAATCTTACAGTGGTTTACATTCACTATGAGCCAAAGGAAATCTGCTCCCCAGCACCTTTCTTCATGTGCCCAAATAGATGGTGCTTTTCATGAGCAAGATGGGGGTGGCTTATTAAGAACACAAATAGAGGCCGGGCATGGTGGCTCATGCCTGTAATCCCAGCACTTTGGGAGGCCAAGGTGGGCGGATCACCTGAGGTCAGGAATTTGAGACCAGCCTGACCAACATAGAGAAACTCTGTCTCCACTAAAAATACAAAATTAGCCAGTGGTGGTGGTGCATGCCTGTAATCCCAACTACTCGGGAGGCTGAGGCAGGAGAATTGCTTGATCCTGGGAGGCAGAGGTTGCGGTAAGCTGAGACTGTGCCATTGCACTCCAGATTGGGCAACAAGAGTGAAACTTCGTCTCAAAAAAAAAAGGAACACAAATGGAGCCAAAACATAAGTTCACAAAATTGATAGAATACGTTGTTCCATATTTAGAAAAGTCAGAGATAAAAGGTTGCTGCAAATATATGAACTAGTGACTCTCCTATATAGGTGATAACAGCATCAAACCTCTAACCAGATCTTGTTCTTTTATAACATATTTTCCCTCCAAAAATTTGTTGACTGACTCTGCCACTTACTAGCCATGCAACTGTGTGCTTTTGTTTCCTTATTTGCAAGAAGAGATAGAAAACAGTACCTTTGTCATGGAATTGCTATGCTACGTGGATTAGGTGAGCTGACAGAGGTACATGCCTGGCACTTGGCAGACACTCATTATATATTAGCTATGTGTTGATTTATAAGATTGTTTCAATGATAGGAGTCATGGAAGAACAGTGTCAGTCAGAGTCAGGGTCTTGCTCTGTCACCCAGGCTGGAGTGCAGTGATGCCATCATGGCTCACTGCGTCCTTGAACTCCGCTCAGGCAATCCTCCTGCCTCTGACTCCTGAGTAGCTGGGACTGCAGGCATGAACCACCAAGCCCAACTAATTTTTTTCTTATTTTTTGTGGATACAGGGTCTTGCTGTGTTTCCCGGGCTCGTCTCAAACCCCTGACCTCGAGCAATCCTCCCACCTCACCCTCCCAAAGTGCTGTGATTATAGGCATGAGCCACTGGACATTTTAAAAAGCAAGAGGACAATAAAGTTTGCTGCCTCAATTGACTCCTCCTTTCATGAAGGGTTTCTCTGTAGCAAGCCGTGCTGTTTGACAGCATTTTAGTCACAATAGAATTTCTTTCAATATTGGAGTCAATCCTCTCAAACTCTGCTGCTGCTTTATCAACTAAGATCATGTAATATTCTAAACCTTTTGTTGTCATTTTAACAATGTTCACAGCATCTTTACCAGGAGTAGATTTCATCTCAAGAAACCACTTATTTTGTTCATCCATAAAAAACAACTCTTCATCCCTTAAAGTTTGATCAAAAGATTACCGCAATACAGTCACATCTTCAGGCTCCACTTTTAATTCTCGTTCTCTTGCTATTTCCACCACATATGCATTTACTTCCTCCACCAAAGTCTTGAACCCCTTAAAATCATCCATTAAGGTTGGAATAAACTTCTTCCAAATTCCTATTCATGTTGATATTTTGACCTCCTCCTATGAATCAGAAATGTTCTAATGGCATCTAAAATGGTGAACCCTTTCCAAAAGGTTTTCTCAGATTCATCAGAGGAATCACTATTTGTAGCAGCTGCAGACTTACAAAATGCATTTCTTAAATAATAGGACTTGAAAATTGAAACTGCTCCTTGATCCATGGGCTACAGAATGGATGTTGTGTTAGCAGGCATGAAAACAACATTAATCTCCTTGTACATTTCCATCAGATCACTTGGGTGACCAGGCGCATTATTAATGAGCAGTATTATTTTGAAAGAAATCTTTTCTGAGCAGTAGGTCTCAATAGTGAGCTTAAAACATTCAGTAAATCATGCAGTAAACAGATGTGCTGCCATCTAGGCTTCGTTGTTCCATTTATAGAGCACAGCAGAGTAAAATTAGCATCATTCTTAACAGCCCCAGAATTTTCAGAATGGCAAATGAGCACTGGCTTCAGCCTAAAGTCATTAGCTGCATTAGCCACTCCCAAGAGGGTCAAACTGTTCTTGGAGGCTTTGAAGCCAGATATTGACTACTGTCTAGCTTAAGGAAGTTCTAAATAGCATCTTCTTCCAATATAAGGCTATTCTGTTTAAAATCTGCTGTTCAGCACAGCTACCTTCATCAGTGATCTCAACCAAGTCTCCTGGATAACTTGCTCCAGCTTCTCCATCAGCACTTGCTGCTTCATCTTGCACTTTTATGTTCTGGAGATGGCTTCTTTCCTTAAACCTCATGAACCAACCTCTATCTAGCCTGCATCTTTTCTTCTATAGCTTCCACCCATCTCTCAGCCTTCACAGAATTAGAGAGCCAAGACCTTGCTCTAGATTAGGTGCTGGTGTAAGGAAATGTTGGGCTGCTTTGGTCTTCAATACAGACCACTCAAACTTTCTCCATATCAGCAATAAGGCTGTTTCACTTTCTCAGTATTCACGTGTTCAGTGAAGTAGCACTTTACATTTCCTTCAAGAACTTTTTGTTTGCATTTACAGCTTGGCTAACTTTGGCACAAGAAGCCTAGCTTTCGAACCATCATGTTTGGACATTCCTTCTTTACCAAGCTTCGTCATTTCTAGCTCTTG